TATTTCTGATGTTGCAATGATACATATTTTCAAATTTAATAAATGATAGTAAATTACAAGGTCTGGACACAGAATGACGTCTGTTGCGAAATGTTTTAGAAATTAAAAACATTTCTGGAAATATTGAAGAGTTTTGGAGCCAAGTACAAATATTGAAATATAGAGCTGATACATTCGTGTTTCCAATTTTATTTGTAACCTGCTTATTCTCCCTCACTCATTAGCCAAGTTGAACGGATATTTTCACAGGTCAATCTCATGATACAATGAATACATTCATGTATTCATGTATTCATGTATTCATTGTATCATGGGTTAATCTAATGAAAACTAAGTTGAGCAATAAGCTTTCTACACGAAACTCTTGGAAGCCTTCGACAGGCTTGAGAAACTTTAAATTTTGACCGAAAATTTCATAGTAAAAAAACTGTCTCGATTTTTATCTGATTTTAAATTCAAGGAAGCGAGAAATGCAACAAAAACCTTTTCCTGAAAAATACGCTAGAATAAGCTTCAGCTTCGAAATAATCGACATTTACAGTTTGGCCCATTTGAGCCATTTTTGAGTGATTACAATCTTCAAGCGACGATATGTTTTTTCTGCAAACGAAATGCTTTATATATTATAGCATTCATTTTCACGCAAGCAATTTTCATTTTTGAACAAAAATTCACAACTTTTTGAAAAAATATCAATTCTCTCAAAATGCTTCGAAGTCTATCTCATTTTTACCTCAGGAGAGCCGAAAATGCATCGAACTAATTAAGAAACACACTGGAAGATTTTAATTTCGAAATAATCGACATTTCTGGCACAATTAAAGCGGATTTTTGAGCGTTCACAACTTTTAACCAATAATATATATCTTTTTTACTCCTGTTTAGGCACTTTATGCATCTTCGTCGTGTAGAGTAAACAACTTCTGAAGATGCAAACCCCTCGTGCTGGCGAAACGTCCTTTTCACGTTAAAATTTCTTTTCTCGACGGTATAACAAGCTCGAAAAACTCTCCAGTTTAAGCAATGGCCTCGAAACTGTTTTGGATAAAAAATATAATAAACTAAATTTCCAAAAAATCACTTGATTTGCAAATGCGGATTTCATCTGTTATTAATCGGTATGAGTAAAATAAAAAGAAACAATTAGTCAAAAAAATCAAAGAGAGAAATCAAGCAAGTAGTTCACTATCGCACTGTGTTAGAGTGAGCGCGTTCTGATGCACCTTTTTAGGCATCTGCCTTGTTCCACGCATGCAATGTTGCCAAGAGCTAATAAATTTGTCAGCTACGAGATCTTGGAATCAATTATCAAGCGTTTGACTGAACTAAACTTGATTCAGGCGCGAGCCGTAAATTAAACATAATCAAGCTGGTATAATGACGAAGTTCAGGTGTAAAAGTGTTTGCTACTTGTTGAATTTGGGGTTTTTTTAGAAGTAAATCCACTAGGAGTGTGAAATGAAGGCATACATTATTCGGACAATAGGGGAAATATGAAATCATAAATTAATATGAAGGTTGCCTGGGAGATAAGAATGAAATGACGAAAGTCGATGAACCTGTTTCATTGGTTGCTTCCCGTATTTTTACCTGTGCTGGGCTGTGGGCGAGCTCAGACGTACGAGCGTCAGCTGGAGCATACCATTTTGAGGTTTCTGATTGGACGATAATGTCGGTACGTAAGTGGGTGCTTGAACCGCATTTTCAAACGAAAAACTAGACAAGACATTTCAAGCCTTGGTACTAGGTGCGTGTATGTGGTGTGTTTTTGTAATATCGAACAAAGATAAAGGGTAGCACGTGCTATTATTAATTAGTGATATATCTGTGATATTTGGAATATTTCTAAACCACCCTCGAATCCATAGAGACCACACCTCAACCTGAAAAGTGGACGTGAATTGAACTAAAAATCCGCTAGGTTACGTCAAATTTCCTACGATAGTTGGCGAATGTAATATGGCCGCCTGAAGAAACCATTTTATTAATGTCTTTTGTTGTGTGAACTGCATTATTCAAAGACATGGAGCTACGAGTGGGTAATAAATATAGGCTCGGCCGCAAAATAGGCTCCGGCTCGTTTGGGGACATTTATCTGGGTAAGAACTAAACCCATTGAACTTGTAAACAAAGATCCTTCGTGCCCTGGAACCTAACGATTATTTCCTGGATTTTCCTTTCAGGAACCAATATCTCGACGGGCGAGGAGGTTGCAATTAAACTGGAATGCATCAAAACCCGACATCCACAGCTACACATAGAGTCCAAGTTTTACAAAATGATGCAGGGTGGTGGTGAGTAAAAACATCAATTATTTCACCATTTCCTTTCAACACCAACAACACTATCATTGTTCGGGCTGGTTTTATCTTTCTAGTCCGAAACGCAATATTATTCCCAGTTCAAACTTGAAAAATGCGTGTTTCACAGCGTCACTGCAATTATCGTCAATAAATGTACACTACAAACACGTCATTTGTTTAGTGGCAAGGGTGGGTACATTGGCGTTTTAGCATATATTCCCATGTTTAGAGTTTCAACTCTACCTTTAGTGTTTAGGTATCAACTAAAGTTTGTTTTTTACGACATATCGACAATTAGACACCTTGTATAAAATACATTTTTGTTTAGTCAATCTTTTTTCCTATTTCTTTACTCTACTCCACTCCTTAGCCGGATCTAAAACGTAACTCTCCGCAACTATCACTTTAATCTAACTAAACTCACTTCCTCATCAACCCCATTGAATGTGGTTTTATTCAAATGAATCTAATAGGAGAAAAGAGAAGCCAATCTTGAAAGAAGATTTTTTACCCAGAGGAAAATTGGTGCATAAAGTAACTTACCGAACAGGATTTATCAGTAGCTTAGATGAAAATAGTTCAAACAGAAACGTGAATTGTATAAAATCGAAGCACCTTCTAATGGACGGGTCAAATTTCATCATAATTGAGAACAATTTTTAATTTCCATTGTTCACTTTTTACATTTCTTTAGAATTTTATATCTTAGTTGCTGTGTGGTCAATGAGGCAAGTTTTACCCCAGTTCAATCTTACCTATTATTATTTAAGAAAATTCCCTCTAAATACTTGTTAACATAGTCGTCAGTGATTCTTTACGTAAATATAGCGCTAAGCTGATCAATATTCAAGCACTAATCATGTTTCCACTTGACAAAAAGAGGACACATACAGGGTGGTCCTCAACTAATGTCAAAAAATTTACTGATATATTGTTTACGGCAAAATATTGGGTTTCAGGCAAATTTGTCTTATCCGAAAGTTAATAGATTCCGAGGTACAGAGTGTCAAAGTGTAAATAAAAATTGCGGTTTTTCTGAATACATTTTTAACCAGTTTTACTAGTACAACAAAAAATTGTGTTTGGGGGTTTTTTAGATCGGCAAATCCAAATTCCCTATTGGTTGGCTTGCAGTTTCTAGAGGGCGCTAGCTGCAATAGTCTGGAGCCATTTAAGACATCAGAACTTTCGTTCGAAGTTGATATCTCTTACTATTTTCGATATTTGTACATGTATTGAAGTCAGAGATCATTTTGAACATTTATTATGAAATAATAATTTTCAAAGATTTTACTGGGTTCAAAAAGTAGTTCTGAACGTGCCTAAACAAATACTGTCTAATGTTTGTTAAGTTTTGTTTAATAGAAAATTTTCGCAAAAGAAATCTTTTATTTAGATATCCAATTTGAGATAGATATCCAATTAGTTCAGAAAAATGACTACTTAGATGTTTTAATGTGAAAAATCTCGAAAATCGTGAGAGATATCGACTTCGAACAAGTACACATGTTTTGTTTAAAACATATATCGTAGAACGTGATTTTATCAACTGTATGACAATTTCTGAAAATCCAAAAAAGTTCTGATGTCTTAAATGGTTCCAGACTATTGCAGCTAGCGCCCTTTATAAACTACAAGCCAACCAGTAGGTAATTTGGATTTGCCGATCCAAAAAAACTCCAAACACAATTTTTTGTTGTACTAGTAAAACTGGTTAAAAATCTATTCAGAAAAAACGAAATTTTTATTTACACTTTGACACTCTGTATCTCGGAATCTATTAACTTTCGGATAAGACAAATTAGCCTGAAACGCAATACTTTGGCATTGAGCAATATGTCATTGAACATTAGTTGAGGACCACCCTGTATATTTATACATAGTATAATAAAAAAAAACACAAAAAATGCGTAAATTATAATGGCCATAGTGTTTCCTATAGGGGATTTTTGCGTGTGGGTTTGGGTTCGTATAGAAAATTGTGTTATAAAAGTCATTGACACACTGGTTTTATTATGACTATTCTTTAGGTTCGAAACCTTCGACAAATCACAATGAAACAACTGAGTTTTACCATTTTGTCGCCACTTGATTTTTACACGTGACGCGCGTTTTGACACATCCACCGTCTTCAGAGGAAAATCAGAACTGAGAAAAACAGTTTTAATCTTCCACCGAAGTTTTAAGTGAATCGCACGCACGTCAGTATGTCATTCAATCTCGAAAAATATGTTTTCACAGCATCGCTGCAATTATCATGAATAAATATACCTGGTGTAACAATTTTAATTTGCATGACTTTAAAAGCCCATTTTACATTCAAAAACGTTACAAAAATGATATGGTTCAGAAGATAAGCAACCCTTTTTAAGGTAACTTTGATAAATCATTGAAATCTTTTCCTGAGACTACATAATTTTTAAGTAAATGTCTATAGTTTTCGAGTGATTTCCAAGGCTCATGCCTTGCATGTCCAAATCTACCTATTTTTTCTAGAAGCTTTAATATTTTACTCGGGAGATTTTGAGGGAATGACGAGTACTTATCGATCAATTCAGTTTTTAACTTCGTGGAAAAATAAATTCGATTTGGATTACGACGTAGAAAGTGATTGGGAAAGTCAATCGATTTGGTCATATCCTAGAATTGGAAATTTAAAATGCTCATGCCTTGGAAATCACTCGAAAACCATTGACTTTTTCAAAAATCCGCACTTTTTTACTTAAGAACTATGCAGTTTCGGATGTTTTCTCAAAGTCGCCGTATATGTATGTATTGTTGCCACGATATCTTTTTCTAGCCAGTCTTATTTATTTAAATATGGGACACCTAATATATATCCGGGTTTCATCCTTTTATTTGCTTTCGTTAAGTAATTAAATAATAAATACAATACTTGCTGAAGAGCGCACTTTTAAGAGCTCCTGGGTGGGCTGGGCGACACATTTTCGTAATAGTTTGAGGTGTAGAATATGCTTTTAATGTAAGTAAGCCTCTAAGCGACTAGAGTTTAAAGGCAAGCAATTTAAATTCCGTGTTTCATTAATTTTGCTATCTACATATGTTAAAATTATTATCAGGTTATACACGGTGTTTCGTACAAGCACCACCGACTTCAACTTTTTTCAAAGACGTTCAAACAATCTTTTTTAAAGAGCACACCCAAATTATCTCTTCATTTCTGAATTCCGCCTTAAATCTGCAATCATTTGATCAACGGATCGTTCGCTAGTATTACAGACACAAGAAATGAAACATTTTTCGGAGGGTAAGTATACCTTTGCAATGGTTTTTTTGTATTTAATTACAATGTAATGTCGAAAAATTAATTTTTTCAACACTAATTTATAAAGCAAATTATTATTATTAAATAGTCATGCGCTTTTTATATATACTGCGTTAAAACTGTATAAAAAAACTTCGTTAAGAACTGTATACTGATAATTCTGCGTAAAAAAGCTTTCAACCGTTTCAATATTTACACTTTGAAAGTGGTGTTYATTTTCCGCCAAAGCAACAAACATGCAATTGAAAAATCATATTAAATAATGCCTTTAGCTTTAGCTARCCTAAAAAGCAACAATATTGATATAATTTTTTTCAAGCGTAGACGAGGTTTGTCAAAAATTTGTGTTTTGTAATTTGTAAATATGTGRATAYGCTGAATATGTTCAACATTTTCTCATCATAATGTAGAAAATTAAACAGCATTTGTTAATGCAATAGATTTAAAGTAATTTAAATTGCGMCACGTGAAGATATCTTTTGTTGATTTCATCAATCGAAATTCCAATTTTTCCATTTCATGTATGTATGATTTTYACATTTTTTTGACTAATGTTTAAGAAACGGCCACATTATAAACTTAATGAATTTCACATTGAAAAAAACCTAAAACAAGCGCAATAACATACTCTTTAAAAAACATGAAAAATAATATTACATATTTTAAATATTTTCGTTAAAATAATTGTTCACCATTTGCGATCACAAGGATTAAAACAGGAAAAGCGACCCCTTTTCGTACTGATTTTTCCAAGGAAAATAAACGATAGAACATCTAAGTAAAACTTGCTCATAAGTCGATCAAAGCAGATCGGGGTGTGAAATACCGTTGGGTTGCAAACAATTGTTTAGTGGAGTCTTATCTAGGTTATTTTCACCTATTTTTCCAATAGTTGCAAGAAATGAATTTGCGAGGTACCGTGTGAAATAATTCGCTATAATCAACGTCAAGTTGCAGCTGTTGTAAATTCAGTGTCTGGAGCCTGGGCGATGTTAAGATGAACTTTGAACCATCACACATTTCTTGAACTTTTTATGGTGATTTTATTCATTACTTATCTAAAGTGAATTCTGCGTTCGTTTGAAATAAGTGAACCAAAAACTGAGTTTTTGACAAAGAGTTTTCATTTAATATACAATTGAAAGGTACTTAAAAACAGAGAAAAAAAACTGTTCGTTTAAACGGCGCATCTTTCATTCAACATTCCTTAGTTGCTAAATCCTCGTAAAATATTGACTCATATGTGTGTCATACATTAAGCTCATTTAATGTTGCTATAGAATGAAACATTAACGTTAGAAAAATGTAATTAAAAAGATTTATAAATTCACTTTTTATATGGCAAATATCTTGTTTGTTCGATAATTGCGCACTTTTTGCAAAATATTTGGCATAAACATGTTTATGCGGTCCTAAATAGTATATTCTGGCAAACATGTAATGTGTTTTCCATCATATTTAGAACAGGTTTTTTTGTGAAAGTGGACGTCAATTTGTCTCAACTTCAGCTTAAATATAGGACAGAAGCAAAGACAGGCGTCTTTATCCTATTTGCTTGTTATGAAACAAAAGCCACAATTATCTTAAACTGTAACTATTAAAATAGTGCAATAGTTGGCGGAATAATACTTTCACTTAATTACTAATTTGTTGTATTAAGTAAGGTTAAGGACTACGCGTCTAAATTTAGCGCAAATATATCGCAATTATTTTGAAAATAAACAAAGATTGTTCTATTGCGTTTGTTACTCAACGAGCTGTTAGGAAAATTCGAAAAATAATCAATTTCTGTATTTTTATCGGTCGGTTTTAACCGTTTCCATTTTATTGCCCACTTGCACCAAAACTATATTATATCGCAACTTTATTTATTAGTAAATATTTATATTTTCTCGTTGCTTTAGTTGGAATTCCTCAAATGAAATGGTGTGGTTCTGAAGGTGACTATAATGTAATGGTTATGGAGCTGCTAGGTCCTTCTTTGGAAGATCTTTTCAACTTTTGTTCGCGCCGTTTTTCCCTCAAGACCGTCCTGCTTTTAGCAGACCAACTGATCTCACGCACCGATTTCATTCACTCCAGGAATTTTATCCATAGGTAAGTGCGACCCTTTCGGGGTTGACAGTTATTTTATTTGCATTTTTTTCAATTTTGTAGAGATATTAAACCTGATAACTTTCTGATGGGTTTGGGAAAGAAAGGCAATTTAGTTTATATAATAGATTTTGGATTAGCCAAAAAGTATAGAGATGGACGGAGCCATCTGCATATTCCATACAAAGATAATAAAAATCTTACAGGTACGTTATTGCAACATCTGACTTTAATTATATGGCAATCTTTTATTAAATGTACAAAATATTACTGCTTCATTAATAAATTTCAAAGTCACCATTTTCCACTTTTTTTAAGAAACAAGCGAATATCAGATTGCAATACGAAATATACCTAATTATATTTCAAAATCACACGCGTAACAACTGAGCTCATAATTAATAAGTTAAATATTCAAGTAGTGGTTACGCAAAGTGTCGGTTGCTTTTTCAAAAAAGGAAACGCGTCTACATGCATTGAAAAACTGTTTAACGTTGACCTTACTTCGTGCATTTAGATAATGTCCTTTAGATATCCTAACAGTTGTAGTAACTTCAATTAAATTACAAAATGGGCGCGAGAATATAAGTGGGTGGTAGATTATTGCACAAGTAACCGTCAACGTTGTTTAATTATTTAATTTGCTGAGAGTAATATTAAGTTGATTTTTGAATTGAAAATTAAATTGTTAATTGTTATTTTGAATAACTTTATTTTTTTAGGTACTGCCAGGTATGCAAGCATTAACACTCATTTAGGAATTGAACAGTCGAGAAGAGACGATCTCGAATCGTTAGGCTATGTGTTAATGTATTTCAATAGAGGGTCACTGCCTTGGCAAGGCCTAAAAGCTGCCACAAAGCGACAAAAATATGAACGGATTTCTGAGAAAAAAATTTCCACTCCCATAGATGAATTGTGCAAGGTACGTTCATTAAATTTATTTAATTTGGAAAAAATGTAGGTACTTAGATTTATGAATAAATATAATGTCTAAATTTTGAAATATTTTCAGGGCTACCCTCCAGAATTTCCTACATATCTGACCTATTGTAAGTCCTTAAGGTTTGAACAAAGGCCTGATTACAGTTACCTAAGACAATTATTCAGAACACTATTTCATAGACAAGGCTTTACGTATGATTATGTCTTTGACTGGAACATGCTTAAATTTGGTAAGTCCTTTTGGTTTTAATCTGAGTATTTCGTATAATATTATTCTATTTTAAGGGGGTTCAAGGGGGAGCCATTGCGAGGAAAACACAGGTCGATCTGGTGGTGCACGGTACGGATCGCATGCTGCAGGTGCTACTACTGCAGGCGCTGTTGGGGATACAGCTACTGCTTCTCCCCAGCAGCAGCAGCAGCAAAGAAGTAGAAGAGCACACGATGCTCCCGCCCCTAATCCTTTAGACGATGTTATAACTAGTAGTACGTTGAACAATTTTTAAAGTTGCGTAGTTAACTAATTCTTTCTGCAGATTCTCTTAGAATGCATGAAAGCCACGAACGGCGAGTTTCGATGAGACTCCGGCAAGGAGCTCCCAATGCTTCCACTTCGGACTTGAGTACATCAAAACAAGCAAAGTGAGTTTATATTTTTTCTGTCCGTTTTACCCTTTTGTGATTTCACTGCGACTTTCTGATTCGGTTAATGTGATTTTTAAAACTGGGTTTTTAGTTGTATTGGTTTAAAAGGCTTTGTTGTTATGTTTCATTCTGTCACATTTCGGCTGGAAGCGTATGTTTTGTCATGTTTCATTGCCTGCAATATTCTGTTCCATACCATTCTCTATACTATCTTTCATTGTTTATTGTAAAACTGGTTGCTATTTAGTTAAGTTAATCCTTGCCAAGCTTTGGGTATCAATTTGTTAAGAATAATTGTGAGTTAATGAATTGTTGATATTATTAGAGTTAATAAGTTGGTGAAATTTGTGATTAATTGTTTTAGCTTGCCTTTTTCCAGATCCACTTCACGCTTTTTTTTATTGCTTGTAATTGGCTGCTAGTTTGCAATTTTAAGTTCTGTGTTTTAGACATTTAGACAACTTTTTCGATCGCAATTATTAATGCCTGTATACGGTGTGGTCTTGCATAGAGGAGGCACCCTTTGATATTTTTATCGCTGATCGCTTATTTATTTTAAATTCTGAATTAGTTTTCTCGGAACGTAAATTTTTATTTTTGGGGGCCCAAAAATAAGTAACAACCATCAACTTAATATTATAGTATATCAATAACTTTAAAATGATATAGTTTATGTAGTGCCATTTAACACAACATCGCAAGCAGTGATGCCATGCTAGGGAATTTTTTCTAGTTCTAGGGATTTTTCTCATGTCAAAGGAAAAATGGATTTGTTATAATTATCTAAGGATTTTTAAAAATTTTCGTTTATCTGCAAAAAAACTGATAATTATTGTAATTATTTACATCGCGATTTTGTACCAGGACTGCCGCTTTCCCGATTAAAACCATATTTACCTTATAGAAAATAGCATAACAAACAACAATTGTCCTATATGTTGTTCGACAAAATGCCGTTTTCCACCACTGAAATTCATCAATTTTCAAAAGAAATCAAAGAACGCCATGATGCTTCCGCTCTTTGCGCCGGCGTAGCAGTCCAAAATTTACGCGTAGTTGCCAGTACTATCATTACCACTTCATTAACCAACCTCGCGTTCAGTTTTGCTGAGACAATCAAACAGAATCAAATTGAAAATACCCAGATGATACTTATGTATACTTCTCCCATTCTGATCATAATTCCAATTAACCGATTAAGAACTCACACACGTTCATAGAGATCCATAGAGAAACTGAAACTGAAAATACTTCATTTTATTTTCTTTGTGTACACAATTAATCTGAGATTTCAATCCGCTGGCGGCAGCCAGCTGGGTTCCAGCTGAATTTCGCGCACAGTCGAATCGAATTACTTTTTTGTTTTGATTGATATTTTCTACTTTGGTGTCAGTTTGGCAACATGGCTGACCAGTATCGAATTTTAGGCTGCGCGTACGTTGCGTGCGGGCTTGTGCGCGTGCGATAGAGATCGTCTTGTAAAGCTTTATCAAAAATATTAAAATATCGGACTACATAAGGCTAATAAATCGAGAGGTCACAATTTGTTAATGCGATTTCAGTCGCAGTCAGCAGCGCTATTTCGGTGAACCCTTTGAATCTCGTTTTATTATTTATTTTTATTTAGTATTTTTAATTTCTCGGAAATAATCTTTACTGGGATGCAAAAATAAATAAACTAATATCTATTTAAATTAAAGCTTGAATTTAAAAGGATAAATAAGAAGAATAAAAATTGAAGCAAAATTATGAGATCAATTTTTTCACCTTCGTTTCCAATAACGTTTTTTGTTTCACTCGTCACTATTAAATATTTTTGTTTTTATAATTTTTTTAAGTCTAGGGAAAGCTAGGGATTTTTAATAATCTCGAAACCGGTCCTGGGGGTGCCTGAGGTGGAAATGCGCTAGATTTCGAAATCTGCACTTGCCTATTTCAAAAGCTCATGATGGCTCTGCTGATGCCGAAAGCATTTCATTGTTCAGATAATGTAAATAATATAACCCTTTTTATTTTTAAAAAGTCCACAATTTTAAGGTGTTCCTATAATTTGCATATGTCTAGACAAAATATTTTAACAACTGGTTGTTTTAGACAAACTGATGATGGTGGGAAAGCACCGAAACGTTTTTAAGAAAATTGACTAAATTGTGATATTCTAAATAAATAACTGAAATCCAGAAATATTGTTTATATTAAAATTGGAAATACAGCCATGAAAACAGTATTCAGCAATTATGCAATGCGACATCAAGACTATAAATATTTTTTATATCTTTTCTGGAAGGTTTGCGGTTGTTTGATCAAAAATTCGTTCTGGTACCTGTACTTGTTGAGACGTTTTTGAAATGTTCAATTGTACATGAAAATAAAAATAAAACAGCTGTTGCCATTTGAACATATCTGCTCTGTTAGTGGGTTTCAAACTGCATTAAAGCTCGTTTTATTTTTCAAAAACGTCCGACGAATTATCCCTTTGTTCAAGTCTATCAAGGCCAGAAAGAGTGAAGTACCAGAAAAACCAGACTGCTTTATTACATAAGATTTTACTATTTGATTGATCAGTTTCAAGTTTTGATGAACACTTGAACTAAAGGTCGATACGTTTGGCGTTTGATGATAATTTTTGTTAAGAAAGAAATTTTAATCTAGTCTCAAAACCACTATTAGGACAGGCAAGTGATAATTTCTTGACCGGTACGCCGAATAATTAAGAGATGTTTCCTTTTGGAGATTCGGTGTGGGCCTCAGATTAAACAGGTTTTTTTACGTTTTTCGATGGGAGCAACAATGGTTCACAGTCTATATAAAAGTAGTTACCGTTCGTTACATTCGAGTTGCTTTTCGTGTTAATTCTACTCTTTGTCAATATATAGATCGGTACCTACTTTTAGTAGTTTTATCCCTTCCACCTGTTTTTCATTGATAAATCGCCGATCGATAGAATCTAATGTTGCTCCCAAACAAATTGAGATTGATGAGTAACTAGTTTTATCTATTTATTATGTTAAATGCCTTTGGTCTCGGCATTGGTGAAAAGCAAAAACAACTTTCAGCCACTAAGCTTTCGGGGATTTATTTTTTTCTTCTTGAGTGCTGGAAGAGTCATGACAAAAAGCTATGAAACAAACGGAAAACGTTTTGGTACTTTTCATAGGAAGCAATTAGCAGAAAATCAAAAAATGTTTGGGTTTCGTTTTTTTTTTCATAGTGTTTGATTTTTGAAATGACTCTTACAGCCCTCAAGAATGCGGAAAACCTAATTTGCCGAAAGTTTGGTTGCTGAAAATTTTTTTCTTTTCACCACTGCCCAGACCGAATCCTCAGCAAAGAAACCCATCTCTAAAGAACATTAACATTTGTATTTGATACTATTACGTTGATGCCGTAACTTGTTTTTGGGTCAACATGTAGATGGTTGGTGCTTGTAGCGGGGAAATTTTTCTCTTGAAGCTACTGTTCGCTCAGAAATATGTTTGCTTGAAATTAAATGTATGTATTATTATAAACAAATATTTTCACGCTGCTGTTTAACATCCCGCAAAGGTTTTTACCCGTAATGGGAATTCGGTGGTAAAATTATAGTAAGGGGAAGTGGACTCGTAAATACGTTTAAAATAAATCGTGCGAAGTGGTTCATTTGCAGGATTTTTTTTTTCCAAAAAATTTGTTTTTTTTTGTGATTGCGTTTTCAACAGTAACAAAACTTTCTTCGCATTGCTCACGGCATGTTTCAGCTACATAAATATTCAAAGCTTCAAAATGGCGAATGTTTTATTACATGTGGCTTTAACCGAGATTCAGCAGGTAGAACTTAAGAAATTGTTTTATCTAATTGAATGTATTTTTTCCGATTTGTATCCAATGGACAATTATTTGTTCAATAAACAGAAGTGTTTAAAAGCTCACTAAAGTATACACGCAATGAATAAATAGCATGGGGCGGTAGTCACTTGATTTTGTGCTTTCGTTGAGTCTCCCTTGTTTAGAAAGAAACCACTTTAGTGCTAAAGTTCTTATACTTTAAAGGGTTTTTGTATGTGCCGGCAAAATTATTTGATGTTTCGTCAAAACACCGATAGAAAATCGATCGTCTGTCGGTGTTTCGAGGAAATATTAAAGGAATTTTGGCGTTGCTCAGGCGCCATTAGATACAAAGCTCATACTTGAATGGATTTATGTATTAACATAGAAAGGCAAATTCTTCTAATTTTCTAGTCATTTTCCTGTTATGAAGTACCTTTTTAGACGTGGTGGTTTGAAAATACACTTTTTTGGTAAATTAATTGCGAATTAAAGAAGGTTGGGTCATCTTAAGAGATTATTGAATGTGTTTATAATAGCCCAATTGCCCAATTAAATATACTACTAGCGATAAACAAATGAAAATTGCGTATTTTAATTAATACTGTTCTATCTTCTCTTGCATTCTTTGTTCATCATCTACCCGTTCATGAAACATCATTCATCATCATTTCCAATCCACAACGAACTGACACCCATATGCCACGTGTGTTTGTTTTCTTTTGGAAGCGCCTCCGGAGTGGCAATGGCGCCCCCATCAATGCCCAGCGCACAGGGCCAACAGGGCGGCGCCCCTAGAAGGGGAAGTTCAAGCAAAGATCCACCTGGCCGGATGAAGAAATGAGAGTGGTAAGCTGTTTAAAACAGCTGAAGTTCCATGCAGAAGTGTTGTGTACTTTAAAGTGAGCACGAATGTGACTGTGAATTTTTCGGAGAATTTCGTTGATAATGTTGGCGAATGAGTAGCTCAAATTACTTAAAATGCTTCAGTTCATATCTACGAAATTTGTTATTTTTCTTAGTTTCGTGTTTTTGGACCTGTTTTTTAAACGTTTCAGAGTTTCCCTATAAGCAGTTTAGATGAAATCAAAGCAAAAGACTGATACTTTAATTAGTTGAAATTAAGCTTGGTACTAACTGTTGTTGCACCATGAAACCTCTGAAATGTAAATACAATTGTATTTAGACAATTCGTCTGCAGTGAAGTAAGAGTAAACAAAAAGTGCAATTAAATTTCGACAAATACTTTTAAAATATTTGGCAGTAACCATTGCAATTTACGAGCTGTTCATCACAATTTTTTTGCAAGTTCCATTAGAAAGAATGTAAAGTTTACGAGTTTTTCAAGTGACTTTTACTTTGAGGTCTATAGATCACCGTTGGAGAATGTTGGTATTTCATGTAGTTTTAAACGTTAGAACTCCGCCTCCGTGCCAATGCGCACTAAGATGAAGTTATTCCAGTCTGTAATGAATATTAAGGAGTTAATATTCGAGTGTACTTTGTGATCAAGCTAACGGTTTATTGGCGGCAAATGAGTTCTCTTAAGCCACATTTTCCAAGAAACACGGAATATGTAGCTGTACTAAAACAGTTGTTAAAGTGTAGCCAAGAGTGGTGATACATACACCTGGCAATCGCAACCTATGTTTCAATGTTATATTTCCAATATCCACATCGGTTGCGGTTTTGTTAAACGTCTTAATTATTTGTTGTTACTACATATTGATTATTTTTAATCATCCTCTTGATTCTTGTTGATCGCAGCGGTATTCAAAGAATTTTTTTTTGATTTTGTTAAAGGTTCAGTAGTTCAACAATACGCTTTAGTGTGACAAACAAGAAGTGAACGTTTTGGTAGTGTTATTTCTTGTAAATAGTGGTTGCTAAATGTGTTGAAATGGGTCGATTTGAAATATTCAGTTCTTGTTGAGCAATACATTTTGAATGTTGCTCAAATTCGTTTCAGTTTCGGTGTAAATTTTGTCTCTAAACTCTCCACTCTCTAACATGTTTTTTTTTAGATTTGTTAAATAAGTATTATAAAGGATGACTGTGCAATGATTATGTATGTATCGCCACTGCTTGACAATCGATTAAAAACGTTAGCATAAGTGATAACGCAACGACGATTTTACTAAATTAGACCATATGAATGATTGATTTTATGTATGGACATATAGCTAGGACTGGACTGAATGTCAATAAGTGTGTTTGTCGGGTTGCAACTTTTGTTTTGGTTTAATAATTCATATTTATGATTTAAGATTGTCACCTGGACATTTGTAAAGTCTGTCTGCTTTGTCCAGTCGATTTAGTCCTGTCCTGTATAAGTAAAGAAGGCGAATCCTAACATTGGATTTATGCATTAAAAATATTTGTTTTTTGGCGCTCCGTACGTAAACTCAAAACACAGTTTAGGTTGTTAACAATGGCGGCACATACACTCAGCATAGGAAAATTACTGAGAAATAAAATAAAACAAAAAATTTCAGTTAGTTTATGGTGTAATTCACGAACATTTTCACATGATGAAGGTTGTACTTTCGCCACGTTTGGATGATGATTATATTATATTAAAATGAATATTGACAACTAAATAACAAGTTAATAATAAATAAATGCATAAAACGTTTATATTGGCGTTTCAATTCCATTCTTTTATTCATTTAATACATTGGTTGAAATGCCACGTTCAGGTATTCGTCTTCTTTAATTAATCTAATAAGAACCTAAGACTATAAATACTATGTGTAATCAGTGGAAAAATTGTACATATCTAGACTGATTTTTGTGTATTTTGTGTATAGAATTGTAAAATTTAGTTTTGTGAAGAAATACATTTTTTATATAAAAATATTAGGATTATAATGTAAGGTAGCTGAATGTGTACTGAACGTTATTTTTGAAAAGGGCGGATTGAATCGCTGGAATTGTTCTTTTCGGATTTCTAGGATGATAAAGTGTGTTTTGGGTATCTACCAAGGATATTTGTAAGTTAGGTGTTTTATACGATGTACAGCATTCTACATTTTGAAGGGTTACTCTCTAAAGTTTCTGCTTTGAAAACGGGGGGCCTCTTTTTGCAAAGTGTTTTTGTATGTGTGCAAATGCTTTTGTGATTGCGCGGCTAATTACGCGGAAATAGCTTACATTATTAACAATCTATATCTATTAAAAAATATTTCTCTTTTAAATTACGTTATCAAGAATTCGGCTATATTACATGATATATGGAAGACAGTTGAATTTGGTATATAAAATGCGAATTGGACTTTTAAGTAATTAGTTTGAAGAATACCAAATCCAACAATTCCAGCGGTTAAACACCTTTCATCATTTATCACTAGACATGTAAAATTTAATATTAACTATTATTCGGTAAAGTATATTATGTATTTTTTTTGTAGCGAAAACATGTTAAGAGGGACAAGATAAATAAAAGTGTTCGACTGGTTAACGAGTTGCATTTCTTATGCTTCTGAGTCATTCGTCAATCAACTTTATTTTGCTTTTGGTCTTTTTTTCTTTATTGTTTGACGAGATTTTTCTGGTTTTTTCCTGATATACAGTAATTGGTATTTTAATATGCGGATTATTTTTTCGTGATTCATTTAAATAAAATTATTTGTGTGTACATTTTAGATTATTTGGAAGTAGCGTACATTTCGTGTATGCACCATTAACTAGGTTTATTGTGTTTTATAAGTTTCGGATAAAAATGTGCTCCATGCTAAGAACTTCTGTAATGTTCGTAATGTTTTATTGCTTCTTTTTGCTTAATCATGCATTTTATTTTGTTCAACGTCATTAGCCAAGTTTTCCATTCCAAAGGATTTATAAAATTATTTCTCTATTTCCATTCTGTTTTTGTTTGATAATTGGTTTTACTAATTTTGTCAACATTCATCACTATCACGCTGTTACTACTGCGATTTTGCTGCTTTTGTAAACTAATCATCTGATTCGTCATTTTTACGAAAAACTATCCGTTTTTATTCCAATACAACGATAATTTGCGCACATTGCTAATAAAATATATTTTTTTATTATTGTACTCACGCTTTACATACATATATTTTTATTCAAATACTTTTATGTATACAATATAAATATTTTAAGCATATCTGAATGGACAGCGAAACTTCCACCCTGCTACAAAGGAAATAGCAAGAACGAACTCAATGATGATACAGAGGAGATAATGGCGGTCAAAGGTAAGTTTGCATATTTGTGAGTTTAATTTAAATAATTGTATTTATTATTTAAAGGTATATTCTACAAGCCTGTTTGTTCAAAGCGCAAGAAATGAATTATGTCGAATACAAAAATGCCCTTGAGAGGAATATCCGAAGTTTAAACCAACAATAGTGAGGATCAGGATGGCAGGATTGTAAATAATTTTTATTTAAATAAAATATTTGACATGCAATTTGTGTGTTTAATAATTTGGCCTGTAGAGGGTACGCTAACAATGCTGATCGAAGAGAAGATGAAACGTGCGTGTCTAATGACTTATAATCTAACCTATGTGCAAAATAACTGAAAATTATAAATAAATTGACGAATTTTCAAATATTGTTTAAGACTATTACTATTTTGCGATAAAATGCTTCGAAGGCCCCCCACAGCAATTGAATTAAAATTGGACGATATAATAGAGTTTGAACAGCACAGACGAAAGGTTTGTATACTCATATTTTACGTAGGACTGCTGTAGAAACACTAGTGATTTTATTTGCAATTTACGGCGTTATTTTGTATATGTATATAATGTGTCTGAAATTTGGCTTACCATGCGACTTAATCAAGTACCTAGAGTATAAGGGGACAAAAGAGGCCACTAAAAAGTTTATTGGGACTTTCATTGCCTCACAGGGATGGTCCTTATTGTGACAAACATGGTTTTTATTGAATTGAAGCTTTCAGTTATATATTAGCCATGTTCCGGCATTACGGACATTCACCAACTTATGAGTGCATTTTTCAATATTTCACACCAGAACTTTGCACAGAATCCTAATTTCAGGCCTTAAAAGCGCAGTGGCCCTTCGAAGCCAACGGTCACCCAAAGGTTGATAATTTTCTAGTCGATACGCTCATTTTCTAGATAAAACATTTATCTAACCTCTTTTCAAAGCGATGGTTTGTGTGGAATAACGGTTATCTATAAAGTGGGCATTTAGTTTATTTCGATCGCTAGGGACGGATAAACTAAACTAGAAAATTACCTGAAGTTTTTGCAGCGATTCACATTGAACAGTTGAAAACATTCGTCGTTTAAAACAAGCATTAAATAAGCGAATTTTTAGTTCACAAAATTTCAGATAGTAGTGGGGCCTTGGCTTTTTTTCGGCGCCCGAATGTTTAAACCCGCCCCAAAACGTTTTAAGTTAGTGGATCAGTCCTAATGACCATTTAGATTTCATCAACTCTCAACCGCTAAAAAAAGCTTGAAGTTAAAAATTGGGGCTTCAAAGTTTGTCTTATTTACGTTTTAAAAATTGTTGGGGTAAACATTTTTTTGAGTAGAGAGAAAGACTCAAGTGTTTCATTAGGTATATTTAAAGAAAAATATACAGTGCGAGTGTCTTGGAACTTGGAACAAATTCGATCGACTTTTCGACTTGATTTAAAAGAGTTTAGTTACTTATAGTGTTAATTAAATCATGCAATTGACGATTGAACATGTATTTAAGGCGAAGCATGGAAAATTGCAAAAGAGCTTTTCAGACGTTTTCCCGGTCTATGAAATTGAGCCCAAAAGCAAAGCAGAGATTCACAACAGGATCGGCTATAATCCAAGCCAATCAAATAATTCATAAGTAAGTTTTTTTTTATCTATATTAAACCTGAGATTGTCGATGGTATTCTACAATAGGAAATTTATTTTTAAATAAAATCTAGGATTTGCTTTTTGTCATAGTTCTGTTTCGAATTTTCCTACTTCGATTTTTAGTTACTGTAATTGATGTATTTTATGAATAAAATGTGTTTGTAGTTCGAAAGTGTGTTATTAATTGAAAATATCTATTCCTTGTAAGCAGGCAAGAAGCGCAGTATCAAACTACTGATTCCTCACTAACCAACCTGAAATTACAAGTACTAATGCTGAGTACAAAAAGACAAAAATTCCTTGGTTTTTTTTCTCTCCATATGGTTTAAAAAAATCTTATGCACCACTCAGAGTGTACTTGGTTACCCTCTAAAACTTCAGTCATGTTCTATTGTGTAGGGTGTGCGAAAATTGCATAAAAAGATTTAAGGGCTGATTCTCAAATTAGTATCAAATTTTACGAAATCTCAAAATTAACGGATCTGCAGCGCACCGACTTCACAACTCCGCAAAAGCCGCTACATAAAATCCGCAAATCTGCACATCCGAGCAGCATAAATGCTATTTATCAAAGAAAAACTAAAACCCTGGTTGCTGTCTACTTCTACTAAATAAAATGCTGTCCGGATCTCTCCGCTAGACCAGTGGTTCCCAAACTTTTTTTTTCTCGTGGACCACTTTTATAGATTTACTATTTTTGGTAGACCCCCTGTTGGTACATTTCTACTGTGTTCCCAAAACTCCTCAAAAATATCACCCCGAATTGGGGATGTTAAGTAGAAAAAAAAGTAGCACATTTTCTTGTGTCCTATTTATTAAAATAATACTTGCGGTCATACAAAATTATAAACATTTATTATTACAAATAGTCAACAATTAACTCTGAAATGTAAACCAACAATACTTTCTCATACTCATACTTTTAATGAGACGGATGTACTTGATGAATTGACAGCAAATTATCAATATTTGGCTTCAGTTTTGTAAGAATTAATCTCATATCTCCCCGTTCTGTGATGTTCAATATGCTCCTTTTTTTGTTAACAGGTCGGCAACGGCACTGAAACTTGGCACTGGACAAAATAGTACGAGGAAAACGCTATCAAATATTTTCTCACAATTTCCAATAACCCAGAATATTTTTCGGGTTGTTCTGCCTGCAGCCAAAATGTTTGATAGCCTTTCTTAAATTTCACCTTCAGGTCCTCGTTGGTGCTGAGCTCGTCCCGGGCACTAAAATTGTTTATAATTAATTTGGTTTTGCTTCAAAAATCTCACTATAACTTTTTTTGAAGGTGTTTAAGTTGTTTGTTTTCAATTTTTTAATACTTTATAAGTGGTATAAATTTTAGTTCCAAATATTCATAACTTTTTGTTCATTCCTATTTGTTATGTTAAAAGGGCTCTTGCCAGATTCTAAATATTTTTTTCTTGAGACGTCGGAGAGACTTTCCTGAGGC